TCCTCTCTCCTCCCTCCTCTCTTCTGTCTCCTCTCTCTGTTCCCTCCTCTCTCCTCTCTTTTCTCTCCTCTCCTCTCTCCCTTCTCCTTTGCTCTCTCTTCTCTCCTCTCTTCTCTCCTCTCTTCTCTCCTCTCTTCTCTCCTCTCTTCTCTCTCCTCGATCTCTTCCCTCCTTTCTCCTCTCTCCTCTCCTCTCTTCGCTCTCTCCTCTGGCCTCTCCTCTCCTCTCTCCTCCCTCTTCAAAAGTGACGACAGTTCTGGGTTTTGCGACCACGACCCCCCCGATCCCCGTGACTGTTGACACTTGTGAGACGCGAAGACCAAACGCAAGTCCGAAACTGACCACAGTTCTGCGTGTCGCGACCACGACCCCCCGATCCCTGCGACTGTTGACACTTTTGACGCGAAGACCCGATGCGAGTCCAAAAGCGACGACAGTTCTGCGTTTCGGGACCACGACCCCCTCGATCCCGGTGACCATTGACACTTTTGATCACTTTTGAGACGCGAACGCTAGACGCAAGTCCAAAAGTGACGACAGTTCTGCGTTTCGCGACGAGTTTCGACTCCCGCAAAAATGCGCGACACTCGCGGACGCTTGCGAACGCTTGCGAACGACTGTTGGTCACCTCCTGGATCCCTGGTCCCAACCTCAACGGGAACCCTTCTGCGGAGCATTCGGGAGAACCGTTTCGAAGTATTGAAAGCTGACAGCTTTCGTACTTGGACCATCCAGTGCAAAGGATTCCTTGCTGTTGCGCTAGATTCAAAGAACATTTGTCTGGCTTCTGCACCGCAAAGGAAGTCAAAGCATTCGACTCAGAAGCCTTGTTTGAACCGTTTCTAGCCTTTGAATGCTGCACAGGCTAACCTAGAACACTTGAGCCAGTGCATACGTTGTATGTGTTCTCATGTCGAGAATATTCCCAGAGAGTTGCTCTGGGCAAGTTCGCCCCATTCGAACAGGATAGACATCAAGCAGGGGGCTGAGATCATGGCCATGACGAAGGACAGCGAATCCTGTGGAGCAGCCACCTGTCACGATCGTTGTAAGAGCCTTGCCCGATTGACAACCTGGCAAGGATGTGGATGACATTGTGCAGAACGGCTACATGGGCACTTTGGAGATCATCTCTCACCTGCAGAACTTGGCTACCGCAGCCCCCTCAGTTGCCAGAAAGTTGTGCTGTTGAGTGGGCCTTTGTGACCATGCCATCAGGTCTTAGCATATCAGGTGATTTCTCGGGTGATTCTCCAAGAGCCAATCAGTCCATGGAGTATAGCGCCGTTGGTGATTCATCCCATTTTGCTGGTGATTTTTGCGATTTGCCGCAGCTCGGCTAGCATTTGTAAGCGGTAGACAAAGTGTGAAGAGCTGCGTGCACAGGCGAAAGCAGGAGTGCCTAGGTCGGTCAGCCACGGTGCGTGTCCAGCAAGTTGAGAATGCTGAGCGCTCGGCACTGGTCAGCCAGATACAAAATGCCGTTTCCTCATTCTTCCAAAGCCAGAGAGTGTGAGTTCTCAATGCTGTTGGAGCTGCAGATGCTGCAGAGCTCGACAATTCGAAGCCCAGGTCACTCTCAATAACACCATCATTCGAAACCTTGGTGGCGTGTCGAAGGCAATTGATCAGTTTGAAAGTGGCGTCGCTGGATACAACACGGCTTCGAATAGTACGTTGCAAGTCATGAAGAACAACATTTACTTTACGAATTGGGTTGGCCTTGCCATGCTGGCAGTGTCGGGTGCTTAGAGGGCAAGATGGCATCTGATTCTGAATCAGCTGCACAAGCAAGAATTGTCGCATTTCCTAGGTACACATTCCTTGGTGGCCTAGAGGTCGTGGAGGGCAAGATGAGGCTGGACTCCGGGCTAGATGATCTCGATCTCAAGCCACTGGATGCCTCAGGATGGGTCTCTTCCTTGCTGACATCACTCTGTTCACACAAATTAACGTGACATGGAGTATGATTTGTAGCGCCCAGCTCAGAAGCTTCGCACTGAAAGTACAGACCATCTAGCACAAGACAGCCGCTCAAGCAGCTCATTTGCTTTTCATTTCAGGCAGGGGCGTGGAGATCAACAGCATCTTCCCGGGGCTGGAGAGGGCCGACAGCTCAGGAAGGCCAAGCCACTTCCTTCACTATGTCAGACCAGCCAGGTGGTGATCCTGATGAACCTGCCCACCGACCTGCCAGAGCGACGACGGCTCCTCAGGCACGCGTTCCCAAGAAATGCTGAGTGCTACTTGTACATGAAGGGAAATCAAAGTGAAGGCGAGGGATGCAAGTGGTAGACTCTGGTGCCCAATCTTGGCACAATGCATCACAAGTCAGAAAAGCCCCGAACTGCTCGTAGAGGTTCAAAAGTCAACACAGGACAGCAAGATAAGCTTCACTTTTTGCGGTTGGCAAGAACCTTCTGCCTTTGCTTTCGATCATGTTCACACTTCGCAGCTCGAGCAGAGCAGGCACCTCGTCACAACCTCGACTACGTTGCGAAGCGTGCGGGATGCAGCTGACAAGAAGATGCTAAATCTGGACGACCTTCCCCTTTTCCTGAAGGCATTCGTCCACAAGCCAGCTTCCGATCCCCCGAAAACCCCTCTTATGCCCACACCACCTGCCTTGCATGCAAGGGGCCACGGATCGCATTCACAGTGAAGTCGCAGCAAGGTGAGTTTTTTATCCGAAAGGCGGGACACAAGCGACAGCAGACCAGCTCGTCGAGCAAACACTTTGCTTGTTGAGGTTGATCTTCAACTGATGGGTGATCTTGTTGTGAACCAGGGCGAGCACAAACCTCAGAAGCAAGCAATGACAAGTTGATGACGCACCCCATGTCTTTAAAGATGTGGACGTATTATCTCCCAGGTTCATCGCACTCGTGGGGTTACACGGTCACGGAAAGTCATCAATATTGAAGATGTTTGGCGGCGAGCTGCTGCCTGGAGATGGCGGCTCAACTGCATTCAACTACATTCAACTAGGACAGGAAATCCAGATATCAGCTTCCTTGCAGCTGCTCCGTGAGGTAACCTCCCGGGCTTTTTCGTGCCGCCTCATCTCCGGGCGCCGCTCTCATTTGCACAGTTTTGTCCATTTTTTACGCTACTACTGTACTCTCGCAAGGCAAAGTTACAGTCTTCCTATGTCTTCTTTCCAGGTTCTACATGTGGGAACCGAGCCTGGCCTCTTCCATGGCACTCTTTACGATAACCTGGTCTTCGGAGTCACTGATGGAGGCGAAACAGCTCCGCAGCATGTGTGCAGCTTCTGGCATGTGTGTGGGTGTTTCAGGCGCCGAGAATCGGGACTCAGACAGAGAACGGGCTGTGACCTCACTTGCAAATTCTACAAATGATGCATGCCAGCGGAGCTTTGATATGCGTCAAAGCAACGGGACCGAGGTTCGACACATTTGCAGGTTGCTTGCGCTCCCAAAGGACTGAAATACTACAAGAGGGGAATAGCAAGGCTGAACAAAAACATATCAAGAAGCAACGGATGTCCCCGGTTTGTACCGTGATGTCTTAATGCTTCGCAAATTATACGCGTCGATTTGTTTTTGTCATTCTTCCAGTTTGTCCCCGCCAGAGTTCGCCAGCTCTGCGAGGGCGACTGTAACAGGTTCTTTTGATGGACAGGAGATCCTCAACCTGCTGGACTTGCCTGACAAGCTGTGCTGGGACCAGGCAGGAATCGGCAAGATTGGCAATTCCTCCTTTCCGGAAATTTGGTTACCCTTCCACAGTGACAAGTGAATTTGCTGACATGCAACCTTTTTTTAATGCAGTGGAAGACAATGGACGAAGATCACGCAAACATCTTGTGCGCGGCGCAAGGTCTTGTCACACACTCAGCAAGCCAAGCTTGGTTTGGCGCGAGCGCTTGTGGCTGGGTGCTCGGAAAAGCCATGAACATGACGAGCTTGAAGGACGTGGAAGCCTAAGAGCTGTGAGGCAAATCCTGACGTTCTCGTGTTGCACAAGCCTGGGATGCCCTACGATGCCGCGGGCTCGGCTCTACAGCTCTGCTTGGGCTTGGGCTCTTGTCTTTTTTGCTTCTTGCACAGCAGCTTAGCCTACGTACAGGCCTTAAGCACATAAGTAAGCTTTTTTTTGACAGTTCCAGTCTTTGAACCTCTCAGGACCGCACCTCGCACATGGTCCTGGAGGTGATTAGGAGCCACGTCGCCAATCGCGGCCTTGGCTTCCCAAGCGACCCTGCAAACAGGCTCGGCTTACCAAATGGATGGTGGATGTTTTCTCCTGTTGAAACTCATTTTCCTTAGTTCGCTTTCCAAATATCACGGCGTACGACGGCTGCGCAGATCACCACGCACCTGCCTTTTCACCAGCGTGGCTCTTGGTATTAATTCGCAGCCCCAGCCGTCGCAACCGCATCAAGTGGCTGTGGCTGAAGCCTTCCCGCTGCATTTTCAGAGCACTGAGGTTCGAAACGGTACGGTCTGCAGCTCGCAGATCGCATTTACTTGATAGGGCCCACGGGCGAAATTCGCCAGGCCATCATGTGTGTTGGCATCTGGCCACATCCATCTGTCGACACTTGCATGATACTGCTCGGGAGGTCTCCGCTGACGAAGTCACTGAGGGAATGCTGGCATAGCATTTTGTAGCAAGTTTCATTTGTCAGTTTAATGTTGAAGACCCTCGGATGCCAAAGTGATGTTATGTCACTCTGGCTGCGGTCTTTTGTTAATGTCTGCGATGGCGCGCTGCGCGTGTCAGCTCAGAAGCGCCTAGATGCAACCGGTGACCCGGACCACACAACCTGACCTTTTCACGCATCATGCGTGTAGGTTCTTGGTTGGCTCATGGCTGCAGGAGATGCGTAAGAGCATGCAGGGTTCTGGAGATTCGTCTGTGGCGGCTTACGATTGCAACTCTTTTGGCTTGACCTTTGCATGATTAAAACTTGAGAGGCCAGAGAGTACACTCCCGCCAGGATTTCTTCAATGGCATGTGCTACCCGATGGCCTATCAGGCGCACACGGGTTGACAATATGATGACATGTAGATTGCCTAGGGGCATTGAGCCACCCAGCATGCCAGAGTTTCATGATTAGAGGCGTGTTCTTTCTAGCGACTGACCTCCAATCGCAGTCGCAGAGTTGAGGCAAATATGCCGTTTGCACGACAATGAAACAAGCATCAGACCAAATCGAATGGGTCAACCAATCACTGGGAGATATAATCTCGCTATGAGCCTTGCCTTGTCTTTGCCCCTGGCTCTCATGCGTTATCAGTTATCAGTGAAAACGCTGCGGGGATGGCACGGGGAAGCTCCACTTTGCATTCAGTAGCACATCGCACTGACTCAAGAGGCTAAGTTGCCAGAGTTTCGAAGCTCCTTTGCAATGCCTGTGGTTTATGCAGGCAAGATCAGCCATGCCGACGAATTTTGATTGCGCAGCGACCCAAGCATGGCAATAGTCAGCTTTCAGGTTTGACTTTGGGTTGCCAGGTTTTGCCAAAATGTGCTGCCATAGATCGAAGTCATCTAAAGCATGCATTTGGGTCCCTTAGAAGACAAATCTGCTCAGCTGATAGCTCGTCCAGGGCCAGTATGTTTTGACCTGCAAGCCGGATGCGACAAGCACAGCCCCTCTGACTTCCTAGGATTTGGCATACACTCTCGGCTGGTCCGCCGAAAGCCTGGCTCAAATTGCAACGCTGAATTTTAACACTATTGCAATGCTGCAGGCTAAGGAACCCTGCAGCTGAGAGCTGGGAGAATCAAATCTTGGCAGGGAATCATGGTCAACCTGGAGAAAACTGGCCAACTGGTTCATGTGTCCAATTTGGAGCCGGTGCCTCAGCAGCTGAAAAATCTTGGCTCTGCTGGGATGATGTTGGCCAAGCCGTAAACAAAAGGCCGCTGCGCTATAGGACGAACAAATGCTGTTGTGTGTATGCTGTTCTGGTGGCAGCCTTAAATTGAACTTGTGTCGACATCCTCCTGCCGTGATTGTGGCGATGGCCGGTGATATGTTAACATGTGCTGGCTAGCATGCTACGTACAGGAATGCAGCTCAGCTACTGTACTCAGGAAAGATGTCAATGAGCCGCGGCCCAAGGGGCAGACGAAGTCTCGTCAGTTATCAAGAGCGACCTCAGGGCTCTATGCGATTATTGTAATTTATTGCGTCTTGAACATAGATCCAGATCATTGGCTTCACAGGCACAACTCCCACGGAGACCTATTTCTCCCGAACTGTATTGGATTCGCATGCGGTCACTCCTCAGCGGCTGCATCACAAGAAGCTTTACATATCTCCTGTGACAGCAGAGCCATGTGTGAGCTTTCGTGAAAGAATGGCAGGCCATGGGCTGATTGCTTGGCAGAGCGGACGTAGCTTGACATGTTGAATGCCCAGGTGGCGCGTTCGTGGTCTTCCCCTGACTTGCTTGCTCAGAACCGAATATGATGAAGAGACGCAGGATCCACTAGGGCAGACGGTGCGTTTTTCAACATCCTCTGTGCCTTGCAAACTGCCAATCCCAGGAATATCGAATCCTTCCAGCTTATGTGCACCTGCTGAAGCAGAGGAACGTGGGACACCTCAAGCTCCGATTTTCCAAGGGAGGTCATGCTGTCTTAGCTGCTGGTCGTGAGGTCAAGAGACCATTTGTCGACCTGCCGCCACCTAAGAAGAGGACCCCTTTTTTCGGCGTGCATCTCTTGAGATGTGATTGTCGTGCGGAAAATCCATTAGTTTGGCTGAGTGGCTATGTGGAGCACCCAGGATAATTCAAACCCTTGGCCCCGTGCCCATGCTGCCAGCAGCTTCGGGAGATTCATGTATTCCTGCAGCAGTTGCAATAGCGTCAGGTACAGTACGCACGTGAGGTTCATGAACTGAGGACGCCCTGATGGACTCTGATGCCCTTCATGCTTGAGCTGATTCCATTGCCTGTTGCAGGACGACTTGGTACATGGAAAACCAGCCGATCCAGGACAAATTAGCTGAGTGCCGGCAAAGGTCCCCAAGACCTCCAACAGATGTAGCAATGTAGCAAGATTAATGATGTTATCACACAACTACGGCAACTCTGTTTGCAAACCCGGCGAGCGCAGCTGAGCTTGTCATGTCAAGCACGCATCCCTCTGAAGGGCTGCAGTTGCAGGCCATTCGCTTACTCGCACCTGTTTGAACCTGAAGAAGCCCGCAAACAAAGTCGCATTCTATCGCGACTTTGTACCAGCAGAAGTCCAAGTACTGGCAGCCTCCAACTCCAAGCCGAACCTAATAACACCACGCTCAACAACCCCTTCGAGCCAAACATTGTCTCGAAAAGAGTACATCCTCGTGCTACAGGACCCTACAGAAGCCTTGCGAGAAACTGCATATCTCTGCAGCGAGTTGCAGTCCACGATGGCGCTTGCAAAGGTGGGGTGTCAGGTTTCCAGCCGCCTTGCTACGTCAGCGCCGTTTGTTCAGCGCTGTGAGCTTGTGAGGCGGAGTCGACCCTCTACGCCGTCAATAGTTTGCTGGACAACGCGGCAAGCTGCTGTGTTTGATGTCCATGCTTTAGCATAACAGCCTTTGAGTGCCCGTCCTTGAGTAATAGCTTGCATTGCGACAGCTGCAGTTTCTGCCTGCTTGACTTCTGTGGATTGAGCCCGGACATGTTCAGCACTGTATGGAGCAGGTATCTGTTCTGGACGCTTACAAGCGTCTGCATGACTCCAAGAAGCGCGGTCAGCAGTCGCTGGCAGAGGTTCCGATGGAACATCTCTCAAAGGCCGGCAGGGGCGTTTCTTGCCTGAGCTCTTGCCAGAAAGGCAAACTGCCAGCTTCGGAAGCTTCGGGTCCAGGTGTGGACAACCAAGCACATGGACAGATCGGAGCACCAAGGTTTGGAGCACAGGAGCACCTTGAGCGTCCCCTGTGCTTGAGAGGCTGAATGCTCAAATTCCCACGTGCTGCAGGATCCATCACTCCACACGGGGTGAGGCTAGACTTTGCTTGTTTGAGCGCCTAATCATGTCTAGCTTCGTTACATGTTGCAAGGCTCTCACGTGTGTGCCCCAGCATGCTTGACAGTGCCCTGGCCTCTTGAAGCAGCATAGGGCTGCATAAGCCATATGCTTCAGGAAAAAGACAGATCTGGTACTCGTGCAGGGCTGAGTATTGGCGGAGCATTTGGGTTTGGTGCAAAAACATGCAGATTCTGAGATGGACATGAGATCCTTTCACTGACACGCTGCTGATCAGGCATAACGTTTATGAGAGGCGTTCCACAAGCGACCGCAGTTTCTAGGGACAGTTGAGTTTCCGTCTTTGGCACACCTGCCAAAGCGCTGAGCTAGATTGAGCGCGCGGCTTGCAAGAGAAGGCTGCATTTTTGCTGCCCCATTTGCCGAGCACACGGGCTCAAGTTATCTTGCATTGCCAATTCCTTGATCCAACTGTTCCTTAGCGCTAGTCACCACTAGTCGATGCCTTGAAGCCTGGCTCAGCAGTCACCTGTCAGAAGCATGGGTCAGACTTTGCAGGCCTGCCTCTTGCTTCCTGCTTGCATGGTCATAGAAGAGCATCAGGCTGAAAGCTGTAATGGGCCCCAATCTAAGCTGCAGTGCATGGCGACTCTTGGCTGCTTTTGTGGCATTCTGAGGGACTGGCTTCCGGAAGTTGAAGCGGGTCAGGCCCAACACGTTCGCTGCAACATTGCCTTTGAAGCAAGTCGCACGGATAGACACTGCTTCCAGCGTCCAAGATAACATTGTTGGGGTAGTTGGTATTCCGTTGTTACATACTTGTACAGAGATGTGCGGCCAACAGCCTTTTTTCATGCCTGGCAGCTTCGGCAGAGAAGGAGGTAGAAAAGGCATCGGTGGTTTGATGCAGGACGTGCCGGAAGGCGAGGTTCTGAAGGTTCGTGCTTGGCTCAGCACAGCCAGCATTGCTGACTGATAGTTTGCATTGAGTTGGTAGGTGGAATTGGGGATAGGGGTTTAAAAAAGCTTTATAAGCATCAAAAAAAACTTTATAAGCATCAAAAAACTTTTTAAGCATCAAAAAGAAACTTATTGCTTATTTAATGGGGAGTACAACAATCTAGAAAGTTTTTTTTTGATGCGTGGGCTTCGACCCTACACCTTCGCGGGAGGAGAGAAGGAAGAAAGGAAGGAAGGAAGGAAGGAAGGGAGCGAGGAAGGAATTAAGGAAGGAAAGAAGGAAGAAAGGAAGGAAACAAGGAAGGAAAAACGTTTCCAG